TAACTTTATGGAAAACCCCCATAAACGTTGACTATTCATTCAGAAGTTTTGCCAGCACCTCACTGACAAAGAGAAAGGCTTAAGTTCAAAATTTGAGCTTTCTAGATTGGTTAGTTTTTCTCTTCAAGTGTCTGCAGTGATGGATGAAGAAGAAAATACAGCTATTTTTGCAATTTTAAATTTTTTATATTTTGGCAACTGCTTTATAGAAAATCTTGAAATTTTGCATACTACCTATGACAATAATTACTTTTCAAATGAAATATTTGGATTTACTTTGTGTTTGGGAGATGAAAAAATAGACCCCAAAAATTGGCAACTCTGATTCCTGTATATATAGTCAGTGACTTTTTTACTTGGTGAGGAGTCACTGCCATGACTCTTAATAAAAAAAATTAATACATATATAACTTGGACGTCATCAATTCATAACAATTTATATTAATTATAATTAGATATTTCCAAAAAGCATGTTTTTACTGTGATCCTCAATATGAGGCAAATAGAAGAGTCGTTATTTTATGTGCTCACCAGTGGTTGAGCGCATAAAACCACTAAATACTGATAGTAGATCATGGGTTTGCTCCTGTCCAACAGGCTGGCTATGTGGAGTTTTCCAGATTTTCTTCACATTTGTAACACCTAAATAGAGGCCAGTTTTCTTTAGAAAGTCCTCCTGGGAGGAATATTGTTTACATGTTGCATTGCTGTATACCAGAGCTTCTTAAACTATGGGTTGTGACCCCATTTGGGGTTGCTTAGCGAAATTGTGGGGTTGCAAGATTTTAATGCAAAATATTGAAAATAATTTGTGAGAGTTTGAAAATGGCACACTTTGTTTCGTGAGTTGTGCTTTGTGTCACTTCTGGTGCAGCGAGACAACGATTCAGCAGCACTGATTGTAGTGTGAACTAGTGTAGTATTGTCGCTTTTCAGTGTATTCAGTTGTCTCTGTTCCATTGTAACACAAGAGTGAACTGTGGTAGTATACCATTATTGTTTTTGCAAATTTGTATACTGTATATCTTTATTTTATATTTTTGGTCGCAAAAAAATCACAATCATAAATGGGGTCGTGAATAAAAAAAGTTTAAGAAGCCCTGCTGTATACAAATAAACTAAACCTTATTTTATGATTTCTTATTTTAAAATTCTTTGTCACCATTTAGTAGGCTGAATGGTGACAAATAATTGTTTATTGAAGTTGAAAATTTTATTTTGTCTTATGATGATTTCATTATTGTTTATATATTTTTTGCATTTTCAATTTTATTTATTACTTTAGTATGTTGCTATTTAAAAAAATTTTTTTTACTATTTTAATTTAAAATTTTTTTACTATTCATGTGTGTGTTTGTTTTGTTATGGTGGTGTTTGTTTTTATCGTTATGGGGGTGGTCAATTTACTGATGTAACAGATATTGTAAATAAAGGGATTGTTTATAAATGGTACTTATTGCTTGTCATTCTCTCTTTTGGTTTTATGTTCTTTGGAGTTAAGCACAAATTTGCTACAGAGAACTTACTATAAAGGAACACTTTATCGATGGAAAAAATAGATTTTATTTTTTATAAAAGAAATTGCATTTAAGATCATATGCTTCTCTTCAATCTTTATTACGTATAATGATAAAACTGTAATATAACTAATAGTGACAACTGGATTAACTAAGTGTTGAAAACATAGTAAAACTATAAAATGAAAAAACAAAACTTCTAAAACCATAGAAAAAATTGACAAATAAAAGGAGTAAAAACTTTAAAACTGATACAAACTGGCTAAAAATCAAGCTATAAAATGCTTCACTGTTTATAAATGGTTAGAGCAAGTAATATAGAAAGAGAAGATACAATATTTTTTAAGATATAAACAAAAAATAATAAATAGAAATACACAACAAAAATGAATTATAATAGATTACAGATTTAGATAAATGTCAGCTTAGTACAGTGGGTGATCGGTTAACGAACAAATTGGATATTGAACACTTTCACAAAAGATTTTTATGATCAGACAATGAACACTTCACTGAACAAACACAAGAAGAAGCGACATAAAATAACGAATACCGATTGGTCTTCCTTTGTCTTCAGGCAACAATTCAAAATATTTTGGAGCACAGGAGACGTCAACATCGACGTTCAACCCAGTATATACTGATCGAATAGTATTCACCCGAACTTTGAAATTTTCCCTTGTAATTTCAGCCTTTTATATTTCTGACAGAAACAATTCTTTTATGTTTTCTGCAAAAGCAGATTAATGCTGATATCTGCTATTAAAGATCTTTTGAAGAAATGGGAGGATGTCAGAACAACGGTCTTAAAATGGCATCTAAACCAGGTTGAGGTTAATTGGCTTAAGGATCTCTACAATTACAATGCTATTAATTACTTCTGAAAAATCATGAAGACAGAAAAGCAATAGACATTGGACAGATTCTTTAACATCCACAAATGGAAAAAACATGACTAATAAAAATGCAAGACCGTGTATATATGTATTTTTATTATTACACATGAATAAATGTAGTAAGAAAGTATGTATTTTTTATTTTTTGGGGGTCTCCAGAATGAATTAATCAAATTCCCATAGAAACCTATAGTAAATCAATAATCGGTTAATGAACAATTCGGATAGTGAACAAAGTCTTGGAACGGATTATGTTCGTTAACCGATCACCCACTGTATTTTGTAACTATTATATTTATGTAACTTTTTGGAAATAGAATTTTTATTGCAAATCTTGCTAGCTACTACCATATGTGTGTGATATTGAAGTGAAAATCTGCAATAACTCCAATATATATCATGAGAACCCAGGGCTCTGGGATAATCTTGTTTCACATTCAGCATGGAAATGGAAATGAAATGAAGAAAGATTTGTAAAATCTGTGTCTTTAACTTGCAAATTTATTATCTTCTGAGTGGAAAAAGATATATTAGAATCATCCAGAGTTTTAGGAGGGTTTAGTTTAATTGCTACATGAGATACGTAGGTCAATGATGGAGTTAGACATTCATAAAACAAAATGACAAAATAATAAAAATGTTTATTTACATATAAAAATTATATATATATATATATGATAAAAACTATAAGAACAGTATAATGAGAAAAATAAATAAAAAATTCTCCATCTCAACAATTACTCAAGACAAAACCTCTAAATTCAATCCACTAAATCTATCTTGATGAGAGAGAGAGTTTACATAATTGAGTTAAATATAATACCTCATTTTAGTTCCTTATTTTTTTCTGAATTGTTGGTGGGCTGGACACAGTTTCCTGCATTTGGCAGGAAACCCTTTTGGTTTAGACATGAACTTTCTTGAGAACAGTTCCAGTGTTTGGTCCTATTTATAGGATTTGGCATTTGTGTTTGGTCCTATTTATAGGATTCGATCCGATAATTAGGGATGATTTGAGTCACCTGAGGAGAGAAGCAGAACAAGGAGATAACTCAACAAGGAGAACTTCCTTGTTGAGTTGATACCAAAGTCAACATCTCTCCTTGGGAACTTCCTTCTAAATTGAAAGAAAGTCCCTCTATGACTCATAACTACAAAACAAAAGTTTTTCTTTGTTAAAATTTTTATATATTATTATTGTATCTAATTTAAACTTAAATATTGAATTGAATTGTTTGAAATTCTAGATAGATAGGAATTGTATGGAATTTGAGATAGATATTAAAATTGAATTGCCTTGATAGTTGGTCATGGGTTTGCTCCTGTCCAACAGGCTGGCTATGTGGAGTTTTCNATTATGTTGATATACAGTGACAAATTATTTCATCTTATCACCATACCTTTAAAACAAACAATGTTTTAGCCTGGGTTAACAGATCGTTCTGAATATAACTCATCCTAGACTGCAATTTCTTACTAACTAAAACACGCTCAAGAAAACCTTTAAATATGCAGCCGTATTTATTAAATTCTAACGTTTTCGGTCATATTCAATGACCTTTCTCAAGAAAAACAGAAAAAAATCGAACTCCGAACTTGAATTAACGATACAAGCTTGTATCGTTAATTCAAGTTCGGAGTTCGATTTTTTTCTGTTTTTCTTGAGAAAGGTCATTGAATATGACCGAAAACGTTAGAATTTAATAAATACGGCTGCATATTTAAAGGTTTTCTTGAGCGTGTTTTAGTTAGTAAGAAATTGCAGTCTAGGATGAGTTATATTCAGAACGATCTGTTAACCCAGGCTAAAACATTGTTTGTTTTAAAGGTATGGTGATAAGATGAAATAATTTGTCACTGTATATCAACATAATTAGAAAAATTTTTTGTTGAAGAGATAATCAGCCAGTTACATAAAAATGGAAATTACAAGATACTATGAAGAAGTTTTAATAATTAAATCCTTAGAAATGTTATATCTCCAACAAATAACAAACCAGCACTGCATACATACTGAAGTTGTTACAAATTTTCACCTGAGTGTCATATATATACTGGTAGTTAGCAAGATTTGCAATACAACTGGGTGTTGTATTTGACAGAGGTTGCAACTTGAATAGTCTTGCTGTGGTCTTTTCAGTATCAATCATTACTTAAATTATTTATTAAACAATAATTTTGATGATAATATTGTGAAAATGATTTTAAATTTAATACTGAAATGACACTTTGATATAGTTTTAGTATTAAATTTTGTTAAAAATTTTTGACTCTCCATTTTAAAAAAAGATTTAGAAATTTATGCTTTTCACACACAAATTTTCACATGCACAATTTTATTGTTTATAAGTTTTTTGAGTTTTTTTAATAAGCATTTATATATTTTTAATACATAGGCTGTTTTTTTAAGTTCCGATGGTCTATAAAAAAAAAAAGACAAGTGTAAATAACAAAATGAATTTATTACCAAAAGCATCCATTTTGTTATTTACACTTGTCTTTGTTTTATGGACCATCGGAGCTTGAAAAAAAACTGCCCTCTTATATTTAAAATAAATTTATTTATTACATATAATCTTTTTTATAGGTTGGAATGAATTACTAATAGCTGCCTTTTCTCATCGGTCCATTAATGTGAAAGACGGTATTGTTCTTGCTACGGGACTTGTTGTACATAGAAATAGTGCCCATAGTGCTGGTGTCGGGACCATATTTGATAGAGTCCTTACAGAGTTAGTAGCTAAAATGAGAGAGATGAAGATGGATAAGACAGAATTGGGATGTCTCCGAGCCATTGTTCTCTATAATCCAGGTAGTCTAACATAAGTAAATGTATCTTTTTACATTCTAATAAATTTTATTAAGGATACAGAATACCACAGACAATCTTTGTAAATCCACTAAGAAATTTAATATAATTTCAAAAATATTTTGACAGACATTTTTGATTACAAATGGATCTTCTTCAGGTCATTCAACTTTCTAAAATTGGAATGTGTTGAAGAACAAGATATAAATTTAAAAATTATTACATAATGTTTTTAAAATATGAAATATAAAGCAAAATATTTTACAAATAAAGAGAAGTTGGATAATGTATTTCATACCAAGTAACATATATGAGAAATAAGTTAAAATTAATAAAAATTATAGATATTCAATGTAATCATAAAATTGCATAGCAGCCATCTTCAATATATCTCAAAAACTGGGTTATTGTAAATATACCATTCACCAAACCATCACCAGTTCTTTTTTTTTTGTGTGTGTCATGAACTGGTGATGGTTTGGTGAGTGGTATATTTGCATAGTAGCTCTGAAAGTATGGCAGATGACCTTGGTTTATTGTAAAAGTACTGTCAAGAATATGAGAAGCTTTTTTCTTTTTTGAGTTGATGTACCCACTTTTAATTTCAGCTTTGTAAATCTCTAACACTTCTAGAGTTCTGAGATGGTTGGTATGCTGGGATTGCCTAGTGGCATTTTGGAGTTTACCTGTACATCATTTTCTGAGGCATAAATAAACAGGGCAGTGGCATCCATTTATCCATATATTATATTGATGTTCTTGTAGCCTCTTATGAATTTTGCATTGTATTAAAAAAAAGATCTTGAATATATTGGCTCCACCAATGTATTACAGATTTGTTGTCCTTTACCATGTAAACCCCTGCTGCCCTGCATTTGTCAGCCTTGTCTTTCCCATTAGAGTAGTTTATATATACTGGGGATGTATTTGTAGGATAATTTAGCACCACTGCTGTTTACTATTTCTTTGCATAAGCTGTGATAAAGCATGGTTATATTCAATAACCATGCATAATGGGTTAAAAGCTTGCATCTGTATATTGGAGCTCCCTTGGTTAGTATGTTTGATATGTTGGAGTTATGGAGTAGGGTTTAGTAAGATCATGGATTAGATTTTTTTGATAACTGTGCTTTATTGTAACAGCCTCCAAATGCTTTCTCTTTTAACATATCTTCCATGTTTGCACAGTGTGTAAATGCCCTTTTTTGTAAACATTCCAAAGGCAGCTATCTTGTATAATAATGGATTACATGAACTTGCTGGAGTAAAGAGCAATATCTGGCTTGGTTTGTAAAAGATGCCTGTTTGTGTGCAGCTATTGATAAGATGAAAGCTAATATCCAAAAAATGATCCTTACTGTTGCTTGACTGATCTAGCTTAAGGGATAGTCCTTAAGGGTTATCATTCATAAGCTTTAAAAAGGCATCTAAATCATATCATGTTTTCTTTATTACCAACAGGTGAGCAACATAGTTCTTATAAACAATAATATTTTGCAAGATTACCAGCATAACTTTTCCTTCTAAACAGTGTACAACCATTTTGCATTGGTCCCCAGATAGGCTGTTCATTGGGACTCCACACTTTTGTAATTATGTGGTTGTGGTAACTTGAAAGAAGGAAGTGTAACTTAAAATGTGCATGAGCTCCAAGATTTGATGGTGGTGTTTGAGTTAATCTATTTTTTGTAATAAGAGATCCCTGAAGTTGCAAGAACATGGTTGTAGTTTTACTGATGGATACAAGTAAATGAAATCAAATACTGTAACAAAAGTGTTATTGGTTAATTTCAGTTGTTGGAAAGAATCCACTATTTCCATGGAGTTCCTGGCAGTTTAATGGTAGTTTTTTAAAAATTTGATGCATGGTTGCCTATAGCATTTTCTAGCAATCATATAAGGAATCTCACTTTGTCTATTATGGGTCTGAGGGAAGTGGATGGTGTAAGGGTTTTAGTGAAAGCAAATACCTTAGGAGTGTCTGGTGAGGCGACCACCACCCTGTCCATGTTTAACTTCTTAGCAAGCATTGTATGTATAATATTTGTGATGTGTTTGTAATTTATCTATGTAATCAGTATTTATCTATTTGCAGTCAGTGTTCTTGATGTATTTGAGCAGAAACAATTTATGCTTATCCTGTTTCAATATAATCAATGTCTTGCTTTTATCAGTCTTCAATAAGATGGTATGATTGTCCATTATCCATTTTTTGCTTTTTCTTAAGTTGTACCAAAACATATAATCACAGGGATCATTGTTTATTGAAGCAAATTCAGAATATTAATTATTATTTTATTAAAAAGTTAACTTAGATTTATGCAAGATATGATGATATTATTTTTAAATGAAATGCTCTTCCACTGGTACAAAATAAATATATTAGTAAACATACATACAAATTGGCTTTTAAAAACAGATAGCTGATGGATATTCCATACAAAAAAGATAAGTGAAAAATACAAAACATGGATAGAGAGATAAGCAATCAGAATCTTCAGCATGCATAATGTATTTTTTCTCTCATGCATCCAAGTTGACTTGAAAGTAATGAAATCATCTCTTCAGTCAAGCTGAAGACATTTCATTGTCATTTCAGAAGTTAATACCATTCTATTCTTATTTGAGATTTCTTCAATAAGTCTGTTACTGTTATCATATTTCATCCTTCTACATCTTTCTAAATATTAATTTATAGAAATGTTTCTATAGATTGCTTCAGAGTTTTCAAAATGTTTTTTTATTAGAATATATAGTAAATGATTTCTTTTAAGTGAAAAATTGATCTTTCTTGAATTTTAAACCAAGATTCATTCTAAACATTCACTCTATTAAGTCACAGAATAATCATAATTCTTTCAAATAAGAGTATTGTCTCTTCATTTGATACTTTGGAAAAGACATTTGAATGCAATTTTACCTGTTTGATGAATATCACATGATTAAAAATGATTCATTGTAATTAATAATTTTGTAACATTTACAAAGAAATTTAGAGAAGTGAGTCATTTATAAAAATCTATTCAAATTTAAAAATTAAATATATAATCATATGTAAGAGAAACTATGTCTAAGAGAATTAACTAAACTATGTCTGATCAACCAGGTTCTTTTTGAACTATAATAATAATGATTAAAATAACAAAATTGATCTAAAAGTAGGAAAATAGCAAAAAACAAAAGAAAAAAACAATGTGTCTGTATGGCAAGTGGAAGTTGTGAGTTTTTTAGGTAAAGCAGATTAATCTTCTTCTGGAATGGTAATTATTATAATTATTAAATATAGGGCTAGGTAGCTTGACCACATTATGTTATATTTATAATAATTAAACACAGTATTAAAGATTGCACTGCTCAACACCTTAGGTTGTTCAAAAAAAGATACAGTATTGTAAAATATCAATATAAAAATCAGTCTCCTAAAATTTTCTACCAAAAATACTGTATCTTTTACTAAATTTCCCATGGTCTCTTCAATTTCCCACTAGATTTAGTGGGAATCCTGCAACAATGGCATGTTTGGGTAACACAATGATTTAATCATTAAAAGAGAAAACTATTAAATTCGCTTTACTTCCAGTAATTTGATAATCTTCTTAATCAAACACTGCTCTGTCAGATATATGTCAGATTACTGAGATTGTATATATATTTNACTTCTTGACATTAATTTGCTATATTTGCTAACAATTATAACCTCTAAAAATTTATTACGAGATTACCAATGTTTTCACCAAATATGGCTGCCATCAAATTCGGTGAGTTACCTGGATTTCGAAAGTCCAAATTTCCGAGAGTCGGCCATATATATACATTGATTGCTTGACATCAGTCAGTGGAGCTTCTTGAAAATTGTTATATTTATGTTTAAAGAAAATATGTTGTTAAATATTTAATATTGTGTTTTCTATTTGAAAAAGAAACTTTTATAGTGATCTTTATATACAACTTCTGTTTAAAGCCATTGGTGAGGAGATAGAAGTATAAAATTTGACATATTTATAAACGAAAACATACAGCAGTAATAACAAGAATTGCATTCATACTTCCGATATTATAGTCAATTACTCAGATTTTTAGAGATTATAACTATTGCTAAGTTAAATTATGAGACTATTTATGAATTTTTAAATTTTTGAATGCATATTATCAAATTTTATTTATAAAAAAATATATATATATATATA